TCTAACTCCTAAACTGGTGCAAATTAGCCCTTTATGACTAACGGCACAATCAACATAAACAGCTAAATTAATTCTGATTGTTCCCTTCCTCTCTGTTTGCTCTAAATATTGAGAGATCTTTGGTCTTGCCAAAATCTTGAAACTCTAAATAAAATTAAAAAATAATAATAGTTTAGAGACAACATTTTATATTTTCTTCATATTAAAATAATTGATTTTTTTATTTAGAGTTTGTCTTAGAATACTACTCATTTTTTCATTTTTAAGAGAGACAAATATTTTTTTTCTATTTTAGCTTTACGATTATCTCTTAATTTTAATTATTATTCTTATCATAAAAAAGTTCTTTATTTTTATTTCATTTTTTTAAGAGTATAATAGATAAAAATAAAAATTTTCTCTAAATCCTGAAATTGAAGATAAAAAAAAAAACATCTATTATTCCAAAATAAAGGGAGTACAAGTTTTTGTATAAATTTGTGTGTCATTCAATGATTAGCTCCTTTTTTTTTTTTTTTTTGAACAAGGTTACAAATATAGAGGAGGGGGCAATCGAATCCCAGTCCTCGAACTGGGGGGATGCACCTTACAAACCGAGTCATTGGGCCGTGAGGCCCAAGTGCATGATTAGCTCTTTTTAGTTAATTGAGATCTATGATATTGTATGCATTAATTTGTTTAAAGACGTATGAAATTTGTATAAAAAAATTGTATAAAATGGTTATTTCTATATTATTATCCAACAAAAAAAAAAAAAAAGAAATTGAATCCATGACAGCACCTACATTGCCACATTAGCATCGCCAAATAGAGTTAGTTCATCTTAAGCTACTGCTAGTCATAAATAACTTATTTGCACAAGTTGAGGAGTTAGAGGGCTTATTTGCATTGTGTTTAGTTTAGAGACTAAAATGTTAATTTGGAGCAAGTTTAGGAGCTCAAGAAAGGTTGATTCTCTTAATTATTTAAGAATTCTCTAACTATAGTGTAAATAACATACTTACACTTACTATTTGACTAAATTAAGGTGGGATTAATTGGGCCAAAAAAAATACCCTAACAAACAACTAGAGAGAGAGAGAGAGAGAGAGAGAGAGAGAGAGAGAGAGAGAGAGAGAAGGTATTTTGCTTAAGAACAATAAACTACAAAAAAAAGTTACAATTAATGGTGAAAATGCCAAGTAAAATGAAAATTGGGGATATTTGTGACAATTTAAAAGTTGTAGGGCATGCTCGTAAATAAGAGGATTTCCTGGAAGGGAATTTTACACCTTGAATTTACCGGCCAGAATTCGAAGTTCCAAAGCCACTGTACTTAACCGTCGCTTCCGTGGTAGACGATGGACCGGAGAGATAAGCAATCTCCTCAAGGTACAGTTATTTTTAACATAATTAATATCATTTTGCTCATTTGTTTTAT